TTTTCTTTTTATTTTATTTTTCCTATTTTCCGCTTTTATTTTTATATGTTATATAAAAATGATCAGAGAGAGAAACAGAGATAAACGATAAATTTCTTTGTACCGTTAGTTACAAACGTGATATGATTGCATTTGCAGATCCGAAAAGGGACAACGATTATTTTGAAACGTCACGTCGTTTCTCGTTGACGCACGTTGAGTTGTACGAGAAATATTAAATCTACGTAATTATACTGTTTGCTACCATTCAATATCATTACCATTCATATCATGACTATATACTTGACTATATTCTTTCATTTCTTTACTTTTATAATTAGACGTTACTTTGTTTAATAATTTTATAAAATAAAATTTGTATCTATATCTGTATTAAATTAAATCACTTATTCATATCATATTTCGTTTATAATATGCCAAAAATAATTGTCACATAATTTTTTTTTCAATCAATTAACCACCATTTTATAAAATTTACAAAAATTATCAAATTCAAAATAGGAAAAAAAATCATGAAATAATATAGTTACAATTTTTCCAAATATTAAATTAAAGTAATCTAATTGCAGTTTTTTTTTTAAATTTGATTACATATAAAGAAAGTTTCACAGAATATTCTAATTATCTTTTAATATTTTAAATCTCATAAATATAATATGAATTTATAATAAAATATTTAATACACACCAGCTTAACTAACACTATACTTTACTAATACATTACTTATACATTATACTTTATTCAATTCAAAAAGATTGCAATAAATACATTATATCTTATAATTCAAAAGTGATAAGAATTGGAATCTTTTATTCAAAAGCTTAACATCAATGATGTTCCCTTTCCACTGAGAAAGAATATCAAATTCATCCTATCCAATACTCCAAGAATCGAAAAGAAAGGGTAAGGTATTTCACAATGGGAGGGTCTCCTGCTAATTACCATCGTTATACGCAATACCCCATTCACCGACCTTCATCAATGAAATTCACCGAAAAAGAAGAAATCCCCTCCCCTCTCCACTGTACAAAATCACTATGCGATCATTAATCATAACAACGAATTTCATCGCGTTCGAACAACGAAGTTCCTCTGCTTTCTGGCTCGCAACGTGGGCCACGAAATTTAGTTCCACTTTCATTAATTTGCAAATGTATTCCGCCGGTGCGTTATTAACCGCGACGTTGTAACGCGTTTATGACAGTTTTGAGATGAATGAACCGCTCGACCTTGCCTCGATTATTTTCTGAAATTTACTTAACCGTTTCCCAAGCTTTGTACCGAAAATTGAAAACCGACCAAAATGTCGGAAATGCATTATCATTCGTTAAAGTGAGATGTTGAAGATTGATCGAAAAAAAAAAAAAAGAAAAAAAAAAGATAATAAAGAGTTATGAAATATCGAAAATTAATAATAAAGAATATCGGAATATTGAAAAGTGATGGAAATTTTAAATATTGGGAAATATAAATAAAAATATTGGAACATAATAGTAAGAAATTGAAATATCGGAAAATGATAATAAACTGAAATATTGGAAATATTGGTATAAAAAATTTAAATATTGAGAAAATTAATGGAGATTCCATTTCGTTTTCATCGCGTTTTATTTGATTTTTATGTATCGATTATTAAATTCTATATATTTTTACGCAAATTCTTATATTGTATGTATTATAATAATAATAATAATCATCGAAGAAATGAAGATCACTTGTTATATCGTGTATCATTTTGCGATTTAAATTTTCAACGAATGCGTAAACATTCTGGATTTATATTAAACATCCCATTTTTTCAATAGTACATTTACATTACATAACACATGGAATGTTTATTCATATTCTCGATTTGTTTGTTTACGATCTCTTGTTTTCATTATTGTTAAATAATTTCTTCGCTAATTTCAATTTGATCATGGATCAAATATCCGATCTCTTCTACAAAATGAAAACATATTATATATATATATATATATATATATATATATATGTATCTTGTTTTCAACGTTTGTTTCACGTTGATCAAATCGTTCTTGGAAAAGTGGGGATCGTGTTATCGCTGTTTTATTGAAGCCAATAACGAGGCAAATACAATAATAATTCTGGCACGATAATAATACAGAGATAGCGAAAACAAAACAAAAGAAAAAAAAAAAAAACGAGGAAGGCTGCAGCTTGTCTTGCTTTATCCGCTTTAATGGCCAACTGTGATGATAATTATATCATAGACGATATGATTTTAACGTAATAAATTAATGAAAGAACACGCGAATTATTTCCATTATCCCTAGATTTCATTTCTGATTAATTAAAATAAATAAATAAATAAATAAGTCTAATCGAAGGAAAAATTTTTAACGATAAAAATAAATCTCTGCAAATCGTTTACTACTTTGATAGCAATTAATCTTTAATAAATTAACATTAAAAATTCGAATCTATATATTGCATATAGAGGAGATCTAAATATTTCCCCAATAATTACTCAATCTAGATGCGATCCAAAATTCGAATTTCGTCTTTCGAATCGAAAAAAAAAAAAACAATCGTGGAAATAACACGTGGAGAAATTCGATGGAGGAGGGGGGAAGAGAAATTCTCTGTCGATGGAAGCAGTCCTCTTTGATTTATCGCACGGCGTATATCTTACGAGTTCTCCGATCCCGCGACTCGACTCCTCCACTTCCGCCTCCACGAGACCCTCGAGTGCACGGTGGCGGAAACACGATCGGATCCCGGTCGCAAAAACCACCCTCGATTCAACCCCTATTCGAAGTCTTTTCACCGAAGATCGATTCGACTGAATTTCCTTCGCCCCCTTTTCTTCGATTGCAGGAAGAAGAGGTTCCTTTTGAAAGTCGAAAGTCGATTGGAGGACGCCACGGTTGAATTATTGTCGAGAAGAGGATGGTTAATTTCTTGGTTTATCAAATTTCTTCCATTTTTTTTTTTTTTATTTTTTGTTTTTGTTTCGTGTTGTGTATAGGGGAGATTGATGATGGTATCAAGTAGTAAAAATATTTAATTCAACAGATAGGTAATAAAATGTGATAGAAGATGTGAATATATATTATTTTAATAAATACATATTGGTAGAGGTATTCGTTAATTTTATGTTTCTTTCGTAGAATCTCGTTCGTTTGAAAAATATTTCATTATATTTTAACAAGTTTAATCATTTTTACCCACTCTCTTATGAATATTTATTAGAAACAGTTTTATCCTGGATGAGTAAATTAAATTCATTTCTTCGAAAAAGAATATTTTAAATTGATTACTTAGTAGTATTGGAATACTACTATTAAATTTTTCCATTAATGAAAATTGATTTTTTTTAATTTATTACCTGTTGATTCTAATAATGATTTAATCATTTCTCTTACAAGATGCAATTACCAATATGATTAAACTATCTTTTGTTGATATTGTATAATTATAATGCGTATAAATTCACTGCTTTTCCCCAGAAAAAAAAGGAATTTTTTTCGTTGGAAAACTATTAATTACCGACTGGTAAAACGGAATTGTCCCACTTGAATCGCGGTTTTCCAGCGGAAACTCTATCTCTGCGCTCTCGCGTATCGATTATCCGCGAAATGGTTCCACCAGCATTCTTGAAAAATGTTCGAGAATTTCCGAATTTCATCTCGATATATACCTTTATTTCTTTAAAAACAATTTTTAAATTTAGAATTTTTATTCCAATAATATTTTTCAAAATTTCCAAGCAATCAGAAAATTAAAAATATAAATATTGTTAAGTCTTTGAATCTGGTAGATTCGCTTTTTTTTTTTTTTCCTTTATCTTTTTATGCGCATTTTTTACATTTTTCACGCTCAGAGATCGATCGATCGAGTAGAATTATCGAGTAGCTGTTTACAATTTACATTTCTTCATTATTACGCGTAAAATTTCATGAATAAAATATCTCGTCAAAGTTTGCCGAGGAACGTGAAGGAATTTCCCTGACGTCTATTCGCGAGATACGTAGAATTTCTACAAATTACCAACGACAGGTTCAATCTGATATCATCGTTGATATGCATGATAGAATATGGTACATCGGTCGAAAAAAGGGGGAAGGGGGCTGTTCGAAATAGGACGTGTGGAGCAGGGTAAAAGAGACACGCGAGTGACACGAGAGGGATGGAAATTTAAAAAGATTGTGGACGTCAGAAACATAATTGCACGGTAGAGAAATTTTTCCATGAAATCTTTCCATCGATTCCTCTTATGGACGTAACGCCATACGTACAACCGAGCATAATTGAATCTTTTCCAATTTAGAAAGGAGACGAAAAAGATTATAGAGAGAGAGAGAGAGAGAGAGAGAGAGAGAAAAGAGATAAAAAAATATGATATCGTAGAATTCTCCAATCTTATTTTTATAAATCTTTCAAAATATTATTATTTCCAATTTTTCGCGGGTAATTTCGTGGATAATATTTAAAAAAGAAAAAATTGAAAAAAATAAATACTATCATTGAGCAATTTTATTTTCGCAATTTTATTTTTATTTATTGATTTTTGATCCATTTGTGTACATTTTCTTTTCTCTTTTTTTTTTTTTTTTTTATTCGAAATACCTTTTCACAAGATTTCGAAATTGTTTTCCACGGTTAAAGTCAAATTATCTAGCAACGTTCGCCAATTACCAACGCTTAACTTTGTAAAGTTGAATCGCAGAAACGGATCCTCTATTGCAGTTTTAATTAGCGATCGTTGCAAGACAGGAATCGTTGCATAATTGAAACGTTTCGAGCCAGGAAAATCGCTGCTCGCCTCGCCAATTTATTTTTCCTTATGTAGTGGTAATCATTGATAAAATAACAGATCTCTTAATTCTTCTGAATTATTATACAAGATTTATTTCTTGATTCATTGACTTATCTGATTAAAAAAAAAAAAAATTATACACACATATATCGTATTTCAAAATTTTTAATCTTAATTTATTAATCTTAATTTTGTTGTTATTATTCTTTTTTTTTTTCAGGCGGTGGTGACAGCAACAAGGGTAAGAGTAAAAAATGGCGGAAGATACTCCAATTCCCGCACATTTCCCAATGCATAGGCCTAAAAGATAAATTGGGTGAGTATTTCTCTCATGAATATGTTACATTATAAGCGATAAATTTGATTTATTGGGGCAGAATTTTTAATTGACGTATTATCGCTGATTGTAAATTTGACTTGTATGGATATGGAATTTCTATTATGCGTTTAAAACGAAAAATGGAATAATATCTTCAATTTATTTATTTATTGGAAAATAATTCTATTTTTTACATTTAAATTTATTAAAAAGAATTATATTTTTTATTGCTTTGTTTTTTTTTAAATAATAAGTAAATCTTCGATAGAATTCTACTTGACTTTCATTTATTAGAACAGTATTCTATACATCAATGATTTCTACATCAATAAACAATAGAATTCCATTAGAATTTCGAGATGTCAAATCAATAATTTACATACTATCGATTCCATTAGATTTTAAACAAAAACAAAATTTAAATTTTACTGTAATAAAATAATAATATTGTGGCATCAAAAAAAAATTTGTCGATCAAATTTTAACATCTTAAATATTATTACAATCTCTTTCACTCGGTTAAACTTTTTTCACTCACTTAATCTTACATTTCCCTTTTTTTTCTCCCGCCATTACTGCCAAAAGCTGGTTTTTGAATTGTTGCCGCCATTATTATATTTCGATCCTGATGAACACTTATTGCTCGAGCAAAGAAGTCGTAAAGTAACGAAGAAAATCAATGAACTCTTATTACATGAACATTACATTAGGTTAATTAGACCTTCATAGAGTCGGATACTAAATGGAGTTTCACTGTATCCTCTCCTCCTCTCCTTTGTCTATATTCATTCGAAACGATCGGTGAACCTTCAATCCTCTTATTCTAATCCGGCAACCGATAACGATAATAAGATGACGCCGATAAGAGGGATAAAGGAGCAAGATAGAGATGGATAGTTTTATATATATATATATATAAAGAGAGAGAAAGAGGAGAGATCTGGAATAGACGCGCCAATTAAAATCTTTGACTCCTCTTTGTGTGTTTGTCGCGGGTTCACGAACTTTCGATCTCTCGATCGTTCCAGTTTCGATCTCGCTCTCGATTGTAGAATGTTGTGATCGAGAGTAAAAAAAAAAATATACATTGCATCAATTATAAATAATAGGATGTATATAACGTAATTTATACGAGTGTTTTTCGAAAAGAGAAATATTCTCTTTTAAGAAATAGGGATAATACAAAAATTATTATATATATTCTTTCCTTCCACTAAATTTTGAAATTCTGAAAGCAAATAAAAATATTCTCATAAAGTCTCTAACTATGTAATAATCTTTTTGAGGGTCGAGAGATGTGAATAAATTCAAAAATTATTATTTTATTATTCGCTTATATCATTTTATGTTAAACAATCAAAAATATTTTCATAAAAGTGTCAACTCGTTCAATATTCAATCTGGATTTTTTTTTAGGAACTAGAACACGATATATGTCGTATACTTCTTCCCTGGGCTTTTCCCCCCCCATGAATCTCATGATTAATCAACGCGTAACCCTCCGGCGACCTCGCGCCGGATTATTGAATCTCAGGCGAAAAAAACGTCACGACGAAGAGAGAGGTTATATAGGAAGATAAGAAAGTGTTCTAGCCACGTTGTCGCCGGTTAATTAAGCCGTGATGAGTGCCCAAGGCGGTGAAAGTGTCTCTTTTCATGGCACAAGTGCCCCACGCTTCGAATTACATGGTCTTAGGGGGTGAGATATTACGGTTGATTGATGAGCCATGGTTGATTGATCGTGGAACAACGAGTTTCGTGGGGTGTTTTGTGATTGAAATTGGATGGATCGCTAAAGGATTTGGGGGAGGGATTGCTGGAAGAGTTTCCTGGTTATTGAGCAGAAGATTTGTTGGATTAGGTGTAATCCTGTAGATTGTGGTTTCGTTGGTGTATGATATAGAGATGGATTTCATCTCTTTTTATTGATAGATTAGGGATTTTTGTTTCTTCAAATTTATTTCTCTTGTGAAATTGATGAGTTTCTTGAATTAATTAAGATATAAGTTGAATAGCTATATATTTGTTGTTATATTTTATTATATTTGTTATTTGAGAATTTTTATTTTTATAGATAATTTGATAATAAATAATAATTGTAAAAATATATTTGATAATTAATTAAGTCATATTTAACAATAATGAATTTTAATTTATATTTATATGATTTAATAATCAGCAAGTCAATTTATAAAATATCATGCTTAATATGTTATAATATTTTAATATATTATAATATAATATATATAATATTTTAACCATTGAGAAATAAATTGCAAATAAATAATTAAAAAATTATTTACTTTAGTTATGAATAATTTAATCGATAAATATATATTTTTTCTTTAAAAATTAAAAAAGTATCATTATAAAGAATTAATCAATTTGTAAAGGTAAATACTTGCATATATTTCTAGTAACATTAAATTCCCTAAAATTAATCGACCACGAAAACGCGAATCGATACATCGCTTCGCGAGGAATCGAAGTGAATTCTCTGCAGTCAAGTCCAATCCGTTAAGAGCAAAATGGCGGGATTTCAGAGCTGTCGATAATCGGTGGAATCGCGTCAAAATTGGCTATGGATTATCAGGGACCACGCGTCAAGAATATTCCGCGCAACTCGATTAATCCCACGCGGATTCGAGATGCGCCGTTTCATAATTGAGAACCGAAGGGAGCCCGTCGAGTGCTCGTAAAAAAATTAACACGAAGTGTAATTGAGTGATTGATGCTTGAGAAACCGTTTAGACTCGCCGTTCGCTTCCGGCTGATTATAGAGATCGTTTCATGAAGTATGGTAAAAAAGAATTTTATGCGTCGATTTTTTTTTTAATAGAAGTGCTTTATTCTTATCTTTCCAAGATGTTCCACGTAAATTTATATATATATATATATATATATATAAAATATATATATGAAAGAGGTGATAGAAAGCGCTTCAAATTTAAATGAATAAATTATGCATGATAATATGCGTATATAAAAATATATGACTATGATGATATAGAAATAAAATATAATGTTCTTTAATATATCTTTCATAATATAGACAAATATAAATATAATAAAGTGATAAAGATTTAAATTTTTTTCTTAAGAAATTATAACAAAAAAAAAATTGAAAATTGAAATTTCTATTTCTATTTCTCTCCAAAGAATTTGGAAAGGAATTATAAACATTAATTAATCATTTATCCGTTTCATTGATATAGATATCAGGTACAGCTATGTGGTGGATCAGCAACCGATTGGTAGGCTGTTGTTCAGGCAATTCTGCCAGGACAAGAAACCATCCTACCATCGGTACAATCTCTTTCTGGACGCCATCGAGAAATACGAGATCGAGATGGATGAGAATCGGACTGAGCTGGCCAAGGACCTGTTCGAGCAATACCTGAAGAGAGAGGGCTCAGAGGTCGTCGACATCCTAAACGATTCTTTGATCGCCCAGTGTGAGGAGAGGCTCAGCACTGGCGGCAAGGAGCTCTTTGTGGAGATCGCGCAGACCGTGAAAAACTTCCTCGCTGGCGAGCCTTTTTCAGCTTTCCAAACCAGCTTTTATTTCTATAGGTAATTTAACTCAAACTGAAGTTTTTTCTTTTAAAAGACGGTTGGTTTTTCGTTGAGATTTATTCATTTGAGGAATTATTTTTTTCAGAGATTCAGCAGAATATTATTTTCCATTAGCATTAAATAAAAAGTATAATTTATTTTTAATGTTTGATAATAAATTTTTAAATGAAATATGGTAATGAAAAATTATCAGTTTAAATATCTCAAATTTTAATATAGTTTTAGATGAAGAAAAAAATAATTTATTGCTAATACTAAAATCAAAAGTTAAATTAATAAATTATTTTATATGAATAATTATTGAACGTAATATTATAATATGATTTATTAAAATAACCATTCCAGTCTTCCATTTAGAGTTCTAATGAAACCTGTCAATCTTTATCTCGCCGACAAAGCATCCCATTAAAAGCTCTCTAATCAGCAAATATTTGTCTTCAATACTATTGTAGTGTTTTATCAATGCCATTTCGCATATCCTAACAATCGCTCTCTCTTTTCTCAGGTATCTTCAATGGAAATGGTTAGAGGCTCAACCAGTCACGTACAAGACCTTCCGTATGTACAGAGTGCTGGGAAAGGGTGGGTTTGGTGAGGTATGCGCTTGTCAAGTACGAGCAACAGGAAAAATGTATGCGTGCAAGAAATTGGAAAAGAAACGGATCAAAAAACGAAAAGGAGAAGCCATGGTACTCATAGAGAAGAATATATTGCAAAAGATCAACTCTAAATTCGTCGTGTCCCTAGCGTATGCCTATGAGACCAAGGATGCATTGTGTCTAGTTCTGACAATTATGAACGGTGGAGACTTGAAGTTTCATATTTATAACATGGGCGGTGAGCCTGGTTTCGACATCAATCGTGCCAGGTTCTATGCAGCCGAGGTGGTCTGTGGCCTGGAGCATTTGCATTTACAAGGAATAGTTTATAGAGATTGTAAACCAGAAAATATTCTGCTAGATGATCATGGCCATGTAAGAATATCTGATCTTGGTTTGGCTGTGGAGATCACAGAGGGAGACATGGTGACAGGAAGAGTTGGTACAGTTGGATATATGGCACCAGAAGTGATTGACAATGAGAAGTATACATTTTCACCTGATTGGTTCAGTTTTGGATGTCTTCTGTACGAGATGATAGAGGGTCAAGCTCCGTTTCGTGCAAGAAAGGAAAAGGTGAAGCGGGAAGAAGTGGACAGGAGGGTAAAAGAAGATCAAGAAAGGTATTCTGCCAAGTTTACCGAGGAGGCGAAGAGTTTGTGTCAGCAATTATTAAAAAAGAGCCCGAAGAACAGACTGGGTTGCAAGTGCGGTAGACATGGCGCCAAGGAAGTAAAGTTGCATAACTTCTTTCAGTGTTTAAACTGGAAGAGGGTCGAGGCCGGTATGTGGGAACCACCGTTTGTGCCGGATGTGAGTAGGTGTCGTTCAAATTTTAATTTGCCTTTTATACTTTCCTTATTATGGGAATAATGGCATTTTTTATTAAATAATTATTATGATGTAAAATCATAAAATTACAGCAAATATAATTAACTTTAATATGAATAGTTATTAAAAATAAGTTAAAAATATCAAAATTTTATATAACACTTTATTACATTTACTTATGTTATTTACAGCCTCATGCGGTGTATGCTAAAGATGTATTGGACATTGAGCAATTCTCTACAGTGAAAGGTGTCAATTTGGACGCCACTGATGATACCTTCTATAGCAAATTCAATACTGGTAGCGTGTCTATCCCATGGCAAAACGAGGTAAATCTTTTAACGTACTTTCAATATTTATATCGGTTTTCAGAGAGAGAGAGAAATAGAGGGGAGGGGGACATCTTGATATGGTTATAGTATCGAAATATATATTGATTCTCTACTTACATCGAAAAATATAGCGCACCAAAAGTGTTCCTTGTACGTCATAGGCAGTCTGCTATCGTTCCAGTGAACCAGTTTTAGCATTCAAAGCAATCTATATTGCAGTTGCGTTTATCATAAAGATTTATGTTTCATTCGATCAAAGAGATTCTATTTTCTGCGCAGTAAAACTGGTCCTCTTTGTTCCAGATGATAGAGACTGAGTGTTTTAAGGAACTGAACGTGTTAGGTCCTAACAACACACCTACTCCTGATCTATTGATCAATCATCCACCACCAAATAACGAAAATAGAGGCTGCTTTCCATTTCGAAGACAGGTGAATCTTTTTCTTTTATTTTGGCTTATATATTTATTAGAATACTTAGATGTTTAAACTATAAAAAGAAATTAAAAAAAGAAATATTATCCATTTCATAATTAACAAGCTAGATAGTTTATTTTATAGTGTATATATTCAAATTAAAATTCGAATAATCAATTAAGTTAATAAAAATGATGCTTATAAAATTTTAGAACTCTTAGAGTATTTATAGTATATTAAAACACTATAATTAATATAGTATATTAAAACACTAAAATTATTCCATTAATTAATCATAATCATAATGATTCGTTTCTTTTTTTTTTTTTCTTTACTCTAGAAAAAGCAAAGTGCTCGTACAAGACAAATACCATTATCAGAGTGTCATCTACTGGAGTTGTCGCAGAGCCAAAACTCGGAGATGCCAGCTAGCTGATCCAAGGTGAACACAAATAGTGTAAATCAACCGACATCGTCGTCTATGCGACGTCGTCGTTGCGGACGACGTCGACGAGCTCTCAGATGCTGCCCAAAGCTGCTTTGAAACAGGAAAAACAACAAAAAATGATGCCTGAGTAAGCTCTGCAACTTTGGCGCCGATTTTTGGTGTGTTATCTTATGAGATTCACACTCATCTGTAAGAGGGCTAGCTGAGAAGAGGCACTTTCAGCACTACAAGCACATGACACATGTTTTCTCAGGTTTCTCGGAGCAAGAAGCGACGAATACGTTGATACTTGCGAGAATGATACGTTCAAATACGTTTGTAATAAGAGTAACATAGAAGCAACGCCTCGTAATCTTAAAAATCCAAGAGAAATGTTGCTCTTGTTGCAAAGAAATAGTGGATGCAACTATGTAGTTATTACATCGAAATATGAAATTCTTTATGAATGAAATTGATCGTAAAATATTATTTATTTTTGCGTGTGCAGCGCTTGATATTTATTTTCTATCGAATGAAAATGCAATAGTAGGTATTTATGGAGAATGACGTTTGGAATATTGAATTCTCATTACGTATTATCTCATTATATATGTTTTACGGCCATTACTGAACGGTATTCTTTATTCAATTGGTCTATGTACACTTAATGCACATGAATATGAGCGTGATTTCGAGCATTCACACGTTGGCATATATGCAATGTTCGCGTAAATATGTTTACGAATGGCGCAATTACATATCGGTAATTGGGGTCGCGTGCATATAATTTTGTATGTGTACTTAGAGCAGTCGATAGGCGCGTGCACATGCGATAATGATAGTAAGAATGTTATTAACGGATAAAGAAAATATACGCGTGAAAATTGCAATATGATAAAAATATACTGTGAAAAAAATGCTCCGATGGAACCGAAAAAATTTTCTTTCGTTTCTTGGAGCAAGTTCCAGAGGCATTCTAATTTTTTAACTAATTTTTTTAGTTGAAATTAATTGTATTCGCTGCTTAAAATAATCACAGGGTCGTTTGTGTTAGAATAATATGACTAGAGATATTTTTTTTTACTATTATATTACTTTTAAAGATCCTAGTATTTAATTTTTTTTTTTTTTTTTTTGAGTACACGATCCTCTGATTATTTTGAGTATAGAAAAACATAATCTAAAATTCAATCGAAATTTATTTTATAATCAGAGTGTTCTTTCTTGATTGACAATCTTCCAATCTTCATTTTGGAATGTACATTGCATTGCTCAAAATAGTCACTGAATCCTATACTCAAATTATATCTTGAAAACTCCAGATTATGATATAAATTACAATTTAAGTTCATTATTTTGTGAGCAGTGTAATCATCGACTGCCTAATTAGTTCAATTTTCTTCTCAAGTGAAACTCGAACCGAGTAGATGCATTTAAAGAGCGTTAAAAGTCTGTGTTTTGATACTTTTACTTTTTGACGGATGTTTGCGTGTATATATATATATGTATATATATATATATATATAAAATTCTTTTTAAGTACGAATAGTTTTCAACGAGGAGAAACCCGTCCTGAGATACGCACAAATTGATATGCGATTCAATTTTCTTTTTTACAAATGATTCAGTTTGTAGTATATTAAAACGTATTCTTTAATCGAATATTTCCAAGATCTTTTCAAGAAAAAATCGATGAATCGCACAGATAACGAAGCATATAAATGCTATCAAACGCATACACTAAGATTTATTTATATAATAATGTTGAGGAGAATTTGTTATGCTATTGAAAAGAAGAATTGGCTATAAGTATGTAAACGAGAACATGAGGCTGATAGCGAACCAAGAAAAAGTAATCTCTTTCAAGATTATTGATAAATCGTTACAATTACGTGGCTCGTTTTATTAGTCTTTGATTCTTGTAATTTTTTTTTTTTTTTTTTTTTTTTTTTTTTTAATGTATTATACATAAGGCCGAGATAAATTATGAATGGACTGATAAGTAATTAATTTTTATGGATTTATATATATATATGCATACATATGTATATGTATATATGATATATAATTTGATATAATTATTTTATCATGATAATTTATGTATGATTTTTATTGAATAATTTGTTCATTTACTTAACAGCCCATTCACTAGAAATATTTATATACTATTACGTATTTAAGATAAACAAATGTGTATGTCTCAGCGGTATCGATTTAGTAATTTAAAAAAAAAATATGTATTATTAATTAATCCACGAATAACGGTGCGACCTCCTATTCATCATATCTATCATTCAACTCGATTTGATCGATAAACGATTTTTTCGTATCGATTTCACAAGTCGAGAAAAAATTAATAAAAATGTTTATTGGTCGAATCGCGAGTTTGTAATCGCTCACAATGCAACACCGTGTCTCTCGTACAAATTGCGGTAGAATTTTCATTATTTAACCATCTACGATAATATCGAGAATCATTTAATCTTATTTCCAGATTATTTCGACGAGTAAAGTTAAAAAATTCGCACAATATGTAATGAATTATTGAGAAATTCAGAAAAGTGACTTGTCCATCACTTGTCTAAATTAATTTAGAAAATTTATAACTTATATTTAAAAATTAAAAAAATTACTAAAAGATCATTGAAGATTAGATTAATTCTCGAATTGTCGAGATGGTTCTAAATTAGTTACGTAATTTTGCATTACTCTTAATATCGTAAGTTAGTATGTAAACAATTAATTACCGGGAAAAAAGAATATCGCATAAGCAAAAATACCGGTAGTTCGATTTCCATTCGTGGGATATCACCGTATCGTCCAGATATTTCCGATTATAAAAGGAATCTCTCAGTGCTTTCAACTGTGATTTTGTCTGATGTCCTCCATTTATTAATTTATTAATCTTTTTGCGAGCTACCGGGCGTTTGAGGAAAAATATCGATCGTGTCTAACGAAGAAAGACGATGTTACTCGTATCAAAACAGACAAAGAAATATTCTCGTATATAAGTACCTCGAATTCTGACAGACAATTGCCGTAGAATCTCGTTTAACGTCCATCAGATAATGTTTTTTTTTTTCTTTTAGAAGATGTATATCTTCGTATCTTATTTGCTAATTTTTTTTTTTCTTTTTTTACTTCATGTATAAATTATATAGAAATTTAATATTTTTCTTCTTTTCTTTTTTTCTTTTTAATCATTTTTCTGTATCATATTATATTGATAGAACAAGGAACGAGATGTTCTTTTATTGGTCAATTATAGAGAGGGAAAGTGATGACGCAAATATTAAATCATTCCACTTTTTCGTGCAAATATCGTATATTGCTGTTTCATTTTTTCGTTTATGATGATTTAAGTGCAAGTTGGACATTCTGAGAGACGTTTGTAGTTACTAAATTGCATAGGAATAACTATTAGTTATAAAATCTAATTAGCTCTCTATATTTTTTACTTATAACTATATTACTTTCCAGTGCATAAATAATATGTTGATTTAATTGTTTCTATTAATCGAACGAAATTTTTTTTTTCAGAACAAATTTAAATGAAATTTACAATTCTTTTTTTTTTTTAATAAAAAATATTATTTTACATATGATTGCCAAATCGCTTATTGTTATTCCTTTGTAATTGGTGCAACGATTAATGTGATGACTCTTGTCATCGGAGAATAATTGCATTTCCTCGAAAAGGAGCCTCGATATTCTCGAGAAAAAAGAGTCGGCAATCAGAGGCTCCGTGCAAGCACGTGAAAGTTCTCCTTTGTACATAATATATACGATAGCGATATTAAACGATAGCTATATAATTCTATACGAATAGGAAGCGACTAATTAGTAGTAGATATGCGTGTTTGTATAGGTGCAAGAAAGAAATAAGCGTTAGCAAAGAAGAAACCCCATTGTTATGGGGAATTTTTCTCGAGACGGCGGAAATATCCGCGTGAGATTATCATTGTATTTATATCGTATACCTTCTTCCACACTCCTTTTTATCCGCTGCCACGTGCAACTGCGTAAAATAAAAGACTAAAATGCAATGGAATGACGTGTATAGATATAATGTTTTTCGCCATGGAATTCTTGAAACGGATTTCCTATGAAATGAGCGAAATAGAGGTTAAAATAGTATTTGAAATAAATTAATTTATTTTTTTTTTTTTATAGAAAATAAAAAATTGATTTTTATATGATTTAATAACAATGATTATTTTTTAATGTGGTAATTTTCTTAATTTGTAATTATATAGAAAAAATTATGATTTATTTTAAATGATAATTTATTTAATTTGATTTACTTTATGCTGTTTATTACAAATACTATTGCCTCCAGATTTGTATGAATCCTCGTTGGATCGAGGCCAGTTTAAAAAAGCAACTTAGCTATTTAGATTATGCGATTAATTGCCGATTTAATTTCCCATGTTTTTTGCCTGCGTCTCATCGACGATATCTTCGGTTTCTTTTTGTAAATTTTTTTTCATTTAAATCTCGATTCTAATGAATCGTATATCGCTCAAAAATATTTTTTGATAAATTAAATTATTGTCAAAAAAAAGAGAGAGAGAAATAGTAATCTTATTGTTTCGATGAAAGTTGATGGAATTATATGAATCTTCTTGACCTAAGGAGACTAAATTTGATGTTTGATGGCAATTTTAATGAATAAAATATAAAAACGGCACTATTAAAAAAAATGGCACTATCTTTTTAAAACGAGTTGTGCAATTAAATTAAAATAACTTTTTAACACAATTTTAACACAAAATTATGATTCTCTTTTTGGAAACAAATCATATTAAAAGTATTAACCGAAATCGTCTTAGAAAATTGATATTTGTAGAATTGATTTTTTTTTTTTTTTTGATACTTCCATTCTTCTTGTTATATGGTTTCTAATATAAATTAATGTATCTATTGAAACAGGAAGAAGCAAATTTTTGTTCCTGACGCATCGACGAAACCAAATGAAATTTTTCTTTTGTAATCTATATGTTGTACAACTATTGTGGACAAAGTTATAAATATTATAAATATATATATTGTATATAAGTTATAAATATGTAAGTTTTATGTATTTATAACTTATATGTTTATACATACAAATATAGACCGCGCATATAACCAAAATCTTTTTACTTATTTGAAGCCCATCATAAAATTATTCCTAATATATTTTCAATTGAAAATACACTTCATATATGCATATTTCAAGGCCTTTCATCATGATACAAGTGTATTCCCTTTTTTTTTTTTTGTAAAAAAAATGTTTCTAATATTTTTGCAACATTTAATATTTTTATATTACATTTACATTTACTAATTTATTTATATATTTATTTATTTTGTACTCATAAATTTTTTTCAACATTTTTTATTGCAGAAGCTTATTAATCATATCTTATTTTTTGTACGATATCATTTTTTTTTTCACAAAGCTGATATTATTTATTTTAACAAGAAATTATGTTACAGGATGAAAGGGATTGGCGGAAGTAACACACGTATTATACAATATAATATATTGTCACAATTTGCTTGTCTCATAAGATTTCCAATTTCCATTTTCTCGTCTAGATCCTAAGCTACTGCCAGATTTTCACACTTTTTTTTCTCATTTCATTTTAATCATTTCAACAAGAATTCATATATTTTATATATTCGCAAACATGATTGCAATGTTTTCATTTTTTAATATCACTCTCTTTGCCTAAGCAATCTTCCATTTACTTTCATCTTTATCAATAATCATTTAATCATAATTTATAATTCTTTTTTTTTTTTTACAGAAGATTTTTTGATTTTTAAAAATTAATTTCACTTACGATCCTCAACATCCATTCTCTTTTCACGATACATTCTATTTTGCTTCTACGTTGTTATATTATTATTATATATACAATATAAAAATAATACAACTTTTCTTTTTTATTTAAATATTTAATCTCGATTTTCAATATCGAAGATTTTGGAAATTTTTAACAAATGAAAACAACGCAATCACGAGAGAATAAATTGTTTAAACATGTTTTCTCTTCTTCGCAAACTATTTCAAATACACGCTGGTATTTTTCAACGTAAAAATAATACAAATATCGAATGTTCTGGCGAATGTTTCCACTCTTCATTTTCTTTGTCTTTTTTTTTTTTTTCGTTATTTTTTTTATCTTACTTACTGCTGACTAATTAATTAATAAATGCTTATTGTCACGTGTGTCTGAGTGGCCATCGACGCTTGTAAAAAAATACAATTCGTTTTCTAACTATAACTTATTTAAAAAATTGCTATCGCTAGTGTCAGTCATAGCACTGGTTCTCCCTTTCTTTTTTTTTCAAAATTTTTTTTAAAATATAACTTATAGTTGTTATAATCAAACGAATTAAATTAATTAATTGATTCAGAATTGAATCTTTGAAAGAAAAAATTATCTTAAATTGAGTGATATACTTAAGTGTAATTAATTATGTATGCAAAAATTTGTGATTGTTAAAAGTTTCGATTTTTTCTGTTTATTTAGATTTTTTTTCTTTAATGTTTAATATTTTTTTTTCTTCGAAAGAGATTCACCTAGCTTTTTTACAACTATTCTTGGTTTATTAAATACTCTGATCTAGATCTGAGATTTAGATCCAACATCAGAAATACTGAAATGTCGAGGATTGACTAGGCCACGCGTCGATAGACACCCTGATGAGTTTTCATGCAAATTTGCTATCGAAATGTATCCCGTAAAAAAAAAAAAAAAAAATACATAGATAAATCACGGGAAACTAAATTTAATTGTAATCAAGAACATCAACGATTCGTTTTTCTATGCAACTAACATTTTTCAATGGAAATATTTATATAGAAATTAATTTTTTATTTATGAGAATATTTTCTATTTATTTTTCAAATAAAAAATAAATTTATTTAAAAATTATATTGAGCATTAGACATTTTGATTATCAGATATATTTTTTGAAAAAAAGATTTGAAATAAGCGAATCGTCGAGTTTTGATAAAATTAAATTACTTTAAAATCTTATGCATGGACGCAACAAGACGTTTCTTTCATTAGGCGAGTTTTGGTTCCAAGAGAACATTTTTTAGAAAAAACTTGGTCCTAGAATAATTTTATTATAGATATGTTGAAATTTTATCATTTCTCTTGACTTTGATAAAAGTAATTTTTATCATTTCTCGCATTGTTCCTTTTTTTTTCAAATAATCCTCTTGATTAAAAATTTTAATGGATTTTTGTTCATTAAAAAACTTTAAAATTTTAAAAACTATCAAAATTTGTAAAAATTTTCAGAAGATAAATAAAATCACTGGTCATATATTCTTTCTTCATTTCTTTTAAAAAAAATCAAAAACTGTTGAAAAAAATGCAACGACATGATAACTTTTTTTAGATCAGCAAAAAGCAATATGTATATAAGAAACAATTTGTATCTAATATGTCATTTTTTTTTTTTTTTTTTGGATATATTAAAATACTAAAATAAGTTACATAATCGTCGCATTTTTAAATTTTATCTGTGAAGAAAGAAATTTTCCTAAATTTTACTTGAAATGTCCGTGCGTCGTTTCAAAGAATTAATATTTACAAAAATAAAAATATTCATGTATATATGCACATGATACATAAAAATCACAATACATAAACAATGACATTCATGAATGATGGAAGATGTGATAAAGCATTAAGTAGTTTGACTAAATGAGACTCGTTAATTGGACAGGACAATCTTACGAGCTATCTGATAGTTTCTTCTTTCAATATTTTGTCTGATATTTAATAAAAATTAAAGGAAAGTTTTTCGACATTTATATTCTGCAATTTTTTCGTTGTATCAACGGTTAAATATAAGCAGAATCATCAATCCTCAACTGGCTGAGGTCTCTTTCATTTTAATTAATTCAATTCATTATTTCTTTTTTTTTTTTTTTACAAATCAATTTTTTTATAGTACGTTTCATGTTTCGAGGTAAATTAAAGATAAAATAATACAAAATAGTAAATAATTATTATTATATAGATGGAAGAAATGCAGTGGAATTACTATTGAATTATAATATTTAATAAAGCAAATTGATGATTATATATTTTGTATTATATTTTATATATTATATTATATTTCATATAGTAGATTTGTAACATTCTTATTTACTATATTTCTTCCATCAAGTACAAAAAATAAACTTTCATTTATGGAATAAATTCACATTTTGTACATATTTCTAATATTATCTAACGTAATACAATATATGCATAATACAATTATATATATCTACACATAAGATTTTAAAAACTTTATTTTGAGCCTATCCTACCAGTTGAAGATTAAAACTCACATTATATCTAATACAATCTTTCACAATTCTTTACAAAGTATTTCTTATACATTCATACTGCATGCATTCATTATATAAAAAAAAAGGAAATAAAAGGAATCATTAAAAACATATGAATTCTAGGTGATCAACTAAAAACTTTCTTAAGGATTTCAATTTATGCTTAAAAAAGTATAAAAATCCTAAAATTCGTATGCTCGTAAGTTTGCTCTGTTCTTTAAACAGATGCAAAACTAGATTTTCGATTAAACACATGATCTAATAAAAGTAAATTAAAAGGAATTCAAATAGTCAGAGTAACTCGAGTGGTTGTCTGGTTTTCTTATTGAAGATTGAAATTTTTCTCGCAAAATTAGAGCTTCATAAATCTATGATGTGTTTATAATGTACTTACAATGTACGCGCCAACAATAGTGGCAGTAAAACATGATTATTATATTATGCGATCGAGTGCCAGCGCGTTAAAATATTCCCATCCTTCGTTTCACTATTTTTTTTTTTTTTTTTTTAATTAAAAAGTATAATTGTGACTGATATTCATACTGTATATAAAATACATAAATATAATATAAAACCATATAATTAATCCTCTGTAGTCCAACATAGAATTGTCTTTCGTATTTTGTTTTATTTTTTATTTTTTTTTCTAATTTTAATATCTTATATAATTATAAATATGCATAAAATAGACATAACATACATATAATAAAAATAATTTGAAACAAGTTGGTATCTATTATTTGGACTACAAAAAATTAATGTCCTTAAATATTTATAAAAAGTGAAAAGAAGAAAGAAATAAATTAATTACAGTCAAAGATGAATTAAAAAACTACTATTCAGTAATGTAAGATTTGAAACGAAGGCTGGAATTACAAAAAATGATGATACAATGTGCAATGAAATGGTATATAATAACAATAAAATGTCTCTTTCAAATCGTATCCACGTTTTCAATGAAGGAGTAAATCATATTTCCTTTTGACAATTATTTGTCAATGTTTTTTTATGTTAAAATACAATATTGTGGTCATTAGTTATTTATGATGTTATGCCTTCCTTGGAAACGCGTCAATGATAAATTACTGCGGAAATCTTCATACCAGTTTAGCAAAGATGACAACCAGACGAGAGAACCAGTCTTTAAGATTATTTATTAACAGGCGTCCTGATTTGATATGGCTGCCTCTAGTCAGGACACCTTTCTATGCTCAGAGAAACAAATATTATTTAAATTGATATTAGATTTTGAGATATAATTAGTAACGTTGGAATGTATTTATTCTGAAATTTATATCTTTTTTATTAAATCTGTCATAAATTTGAGAATTTATTGTAGAACTTGTTATAGAATATTAGACTCTAAATTCTATAATACATAATTTTTAAAATATGATTTTTCACTATGCTTTTTATTTTCTTTTTAAATAATCAAAGTCTCATCATAGAATAAAATAATAAATATATGAAAAATTGATATCAAGTTATTTTTTTTATAAAAAAAATAAAATAAAATATTTTTATAAAAAAATAAAATTTTCATAAAATATTAATAAAAAATAGATATCTAATCTAATCAAATATTTTTGGACTCAATTATATGATAAAAAAATATGATAATATATGAACTTGGAGTCTTATTTCAAATTCTACATAGATTTTTCAAATTTTTTTCTCCAGATAAATATGAAAAAATATTTTTGAAATAAAAAACATTGCTTTCTGAGCAATGTTTGGTTCTCTTGGAATAAGAAGTCATCGTTGTGAAGACTGAGGATCCGTTTTAGATGCGGTTAAACCTGAGCGGGTTTCGACTTGCCAACGACCAATATTATTTTCTGCAGGAACTTTGTGGTGCTTACTGAAAACAACAATTATAATTATTTAGTTTTTTAATTCATATTAAATTGTGCGTTCTAGAAAAAGATGGTTAGTAAAAATCCTAATGTGGTATCGTCAAATATTGAAAATAATTTTAATTTTCTTTTTTTAAATTTAATAATTTTTATTTTCAAGAATTTCAACTTATTGTTTTAAATAAGAGATAATTTAAGATTAATTCGAAATTGTAACTCAATAGATTTCAAAATCAATTGATTGACGACACTACGACCGAAAAATTAAAAAAATCTGCAGTCGGACTTCGTTATACCAATTTCATAATCAATAATTAGTCATAATTAGTAACGATACTCTGTATAAGAGCACTGTACGAGTAGTGTGCGTGATACTGATTATGTGAGTGCAACATGCAAACATAAAAGAGAATAATGTTGAGCAAATTGAGACGAAATACAATTTAAAAAATTTTGCTGAAAATTTCAACATTTGAAGAAAACCATATTATAAAGATTTATTATTAAAAAAAAAATATTGATAAAATATTTTTTTCTTAAACAATTAAACATTATGAATATGAAAATTATAATACACTAAAAAAACTACATAAGATGATAAGACTGATATTTAAAAATATATACATTAAAATTATACTTATAAAATAAAATAATAATAATAATAAACATGCATGATAATTGAAGAACAATAAGCTTAGGCGAATCGATGTTAAAAATTAATAAATGCTAAACATGCGTGACATGAAGAGAATTAAATTATGTTAAAGTGTATCTTTTCTTTTTTGAACCTTAGTCTTTGGTCCGACGACTACCATCATCTTCTGCAATGTTTTGGTAACGGCGCCTGCGGGAATAGATTGCAATTAAACAGAAACGGAACAAAAAATCCTATTTTTTTTTTCAATAACTTAACATAAAGATAACTTAAGAAGAACTATAAAAACTCAACTATAACTATCAAACTAATTCAGTTTATCAAAATAACCAATTAGATATTTTTCTTTGTTAATAGAACCACAAACTACGTATAAAACAGATCTATCATCAGTGCTAATATAAAAAGAATTATGCATATATAAAAATCTCTGATTTTTCACACGATCCAAATTTGAAATACAAAATTCCATAAGATATTAGGTCTATTCTGTATCTTATTTGTAATGGAATTTTTTCTTCTAATAAATTTATTTAACTTATACTTACCGACTCCTTTCTGGAAGAATTTTGGTTTATTTTTCCACGCGATAAATATAAAATATACAGGTATGGATGAGAAGATCATCAAGCAACCATATCCTAAAAGAAATCAAATTTATTTTAAATTTAATATATCCATCGAATAAAGTATTATAAAAAATCTTTCCAGATGAAATATACCTGTTTCCACAGGACTGGCGTACATGGGTACAATAGTTACAAAGAGAGTTGCAAGGATGTAGATTATGGGGAAGAAAAGATTCACTTTGATAGGTCTAGACAAATTCGGCTGAGACCATCTCAACCATGGTAGGCACAAAACAGAGACACCTATACTTAACTGCAATAAAAAAAAGTATTCCATTTTTTATATTTTTTTACATTTTTTATTATTTATTAAATAAAATTCAAAATATTTTAATATCATCAATTTTTTATTCTATTGTATTTTTCCTTATTTTTCTAGTTTCATTAAATTTTTGTTTGCATCTCAATTTTTATAATCATAAGAATTAAAACAAAGAATGATAACAAACGATCACATTTTAGCAAATGAGCAAAATAAATGTGTGTTTATAAGTATTTTAAAGCAACAGTCAGACGATATGACAAAGTATATTTTATATCCCGCTATAAAGTCGGACAATATTGTCAATTATACTGAGCACTATGAGCCAATTAGAAAATTGTCACTCGTCCGGTTGTTAATAATTTTCGCTTTGTAGTGAGACAGGTATTAGTGTTCTACATGTGGCCTATGTTCAATGCAATTTCTTGGAATATAATGAGAAACAATTATGATTTTATTAGAATTGTTGCGAACTGTGCAAACGGTTTCGTATTATAGTTTCAATAACCATTCGAATAAAAAAATTTTTTGTCAAAATAATATTATGAAGTTTCTTGAAGAGATCTTAATAATTTCTAATTTTTTTATAATTTTGATATAGTAGTATTTTTTCATTTTTTTTTTGTCCAAAATAAATATGAAATTTATTTTTATGAGAAATGGATGAAGAATGAAAAATTCTAAATAAACAATATCTTAAATAAATTTTTAATAGATAACATTTTGTGAAAATTTAATTCTAAAAAAAAATAAATAAAAAAAGATATTATATTGTAATAAATTTCTTTAGAATTTATATAATTTTTTAAATGCTTTTAGAATATTATATAGAATAAAATAAAATGAAATTTGTTCTTTAATTTCTTATAGTAAATCTTACATACCCAAGTAGCAAAGCCAACATAATTGATGAGGGCGAAAATGTCTGAAGAACAAAGGTATAGCATTGACAACAAAGTCTGCAACAGATTAAACAAGATTTCAATCATCCTTCACATTGATAAGTTTCTTCAATCTTAGTAGATTATTGTCAATATTTTTAAAAAACCTCATTTCTCTCAAGAGATAAAAAAAATAATTTTAATTAAAAAATTTAAATATTTTTCTATATAATTTAAGAATTATTATCTTTGATATCTAATAGTTTAATAAAATATAAAAGAAAATACAAAAATAAAATTCTCAATCAAATATAAAGAAGAATAAAAAAAAATTTATTATTATATTTTTAAATAATGATTATCATATTTGTCTTAAAAATTTTTTTCTAATTTGAGAAATAATAGAAAAGATGATATACCATGCAAAGAACAGCAGGAGTAGGTGTGAGCCTCGAAATTTGAATCATTGTCAATATTTCAGGCATTTGACCCTCGCAAGCGCCAGCATAAAAAAGTCTGGAGGAAGTAAGAAGAATTCCATTTACGGCACCAAACGTGGAAAGAGCGACAAATACTGGTATCGTCCAAGCAAACATTCCGAATAAACGATTCGCAAAGGTCTGAAAAAAATAAATAAAATCACTGTTTTTTATGTAATAAAGTTTTATTTTATAATTCTTTTTTCTTTTTATTTCATTGCAATAAAGAATTAATTTTTTTATTAATAATTTTTTAATTTTTTGTTCTCACTTTTTTAAGTAATATAATATTATTTATAAAATATATTAATAATTCTCCTGTCTACTAACATTATTTGAAATTAATTTATTATATAAATAAAATAATCATAATTTTTTTTTCTAAATTATTGTTTAAATTTTTATATATCCAAAATCAATTTTTTAATAATTATATATATATAATAGTATATAATAATGAAATAAGAATTTAATTTCATTCTATTTTTTGTATAAACTTACAACAGCGACAGCTTCACTGCCAAGAACTTCCACCGGACTCAGTGTCGTATAAAATGCCATGTTTGCAAAAACATAGACTGTGGTAACAAGGACACACGAGATTGCAATAGCTTTTGGTAAATTCCTGAAAAGAAAAAAGAAGAAAATATAAAAAAATCTAAAAATCATTTTCAATTAATTGTTTATGAGAATCGAAAATATTTAATTTTGTGCAACGTAGGATAAAAATTTTCAATTTGATCTCGTGCAAATCGATTAAAACCCCCTATTTTAATTAATAGATACACGAAATTGTTGCAATAGCATCTATTAATTATTGCATGAAACTGTGGTCAAAACTTTTAGATACTCAAATAATTGTTTAGATGAATCTATTATTTAGTGTTGATTTGTGTAAAAAGAAGTTAGTTTAATAAATTAAAATCTTTGCAATAAGTAATAGAAATATTATATATTATAAATAAAATATTATATCTTTCTAAAAATAAAAAAGAAAAAGATTTTTCTTTAAAAAAAGAGAAAAAAAATCATTCTACGTAAGAAATCAATAAGTGTAGTTTTGTTTTTAATTTTTCTCTATTTTGTAATTTAAAAATAATTGAAAAATATATTTATCTATTTTAATAAATTTATCAATCATCTTGTAATTTATTTCCAAATAAATTTAGAAAATGTTACCAATATTATACTATGTATATATGTATATATTATTATATTTCCTCAAATAAATTGCAAAATTATTTTTTAATCTTGCATTGTTAGTTTTTAACAAAGATTGCTTTTTTTTTTTAAGCATTCAACGAAATGACTTATCAGTCACTTACTTTACAGGATCCTTCAATTCCTCAATGATGAAATTCAAGTAGTTCCAGCCATTATAAGCGAACAATCCCGAATAAAAGCTAAGTGCTATCGATGTCACTTCTGTCTTCGTGTTGTCGAACGTAAAATATTCTGTATGTCCTATAAAATATGAATAAAATTGATTAATCATCATTCAATCATCAATTGATGATATTATTCTATAATATGTATCCATATTCGTTTCTTTTAAAAAATATACAAGAAAAAAATAAAAAAAAAAAAATATACAAAGAAAAATATTTTTTCATATTGCTTTTGACAATTGAACAATAAAGAATTTAAAATGTATTTTTAAATAAAAATAAAAAATAAAAAAAAATTTTAAAACTTTTGATTGAAATTTAATGTCGTGAATATTTTTACACATATTATAATAATTTATTTTTTCAATAGTTCCATGATTAATTTTTCTATTCATTTGTTTTGAACGTAACATATCGAAAGAAAAAGTTTCTCACGTCGATAATACTCAATTATATGTAAATACATATATATATATACTGTCCATTCGAACGCAATGAATAAGTCAATTTAAAACGAATCCTTGCACGCACCTCAAATTGTCCGCATCTTTAACCCACCTTTTTGATTGGGTAAATTGTCTCGTCCGGCAAATGAAAAGACACCTAACACCGTTTTATACACTAGTTTCTTAAGGGTTGGCGTAGGTGGTGAAACATTAACGCGAACTTCCTCATTCTTGCTTAAGAAATTGCCAACACGTTATTTAATCGCGAGAAAACAATACAGATATTGATTTAATTTTTTACTCTCGACAAATTCTTGTTATTAAATTAAGATGATTAAAAGTTAGATACAATTTTTTGGATTACTTATTTTTAATTATGGAATTATTTTTAATCAATCTAATTTTTATTAATACATTTTTTCGGTGAATAATTGTTATAATTTTATTTAATATTTTTACAAAAAAAACTTTGAATTAACTCTTGCAATAAAAAATATATTCCTAAAAATAATTTTCCTATTATTATTTTTAAGAAAAAAAAAATCACATTAATTTTAAGATTCAATAAAAAAATTAAATTACAATTCTCAAATTATATTCTTTCTTATAGATTTAAATTGAAACTTTTCATTTACAGAATCTTCTATTAACACAATTTTTATTTCTTTCTAAAAATAAGATTCTTCATCCATTGATTTTTGTGTAAAAAGAATTCTTCTCTAAAAGAAACCAGCGACCGTTTAAATTTAGTTACGATCACAATTTTTATTTCTTTCTAAAAATATAATTCTCTCCTTCTCTAATAGTTAGGTTTATCTATCTCAAAAAAAAATTTTCTAATAATTTGCTTTTTCTAAAAAAATAAATTTCGTTTTTCGTTTCTTTCTAAAAATAAAATTTTATTAATCTATAAAAAAAGTATTCTAGATGAAAAATCAACAATCATTGCATTTTTTATTTTTATAATTAATCTTTATGAAATCAAAAACCGTGAAAAATTCAAGTCAAGTCTTCCTCTGAAAAAAAGATTGACAGTGCTAACCTGTTTTTTCTTTCCAACAATATTTCCAACGTTAAAAATCCAACGTGAAATATCGATCCAGTTTCGAATGAATCGCTCGAAGGAATTCTTGGTTTCATATTTTCTTGCCAGGTTTAGAAAGAATGACGAGACAAAAATTGAACGTATATAAATTCCAATGATCGAGCACAAAAGAAACTCAATTTACGCGCGGGAGAAAGTCGATCTGATGCAATGGCATCGGTTGTTTCCTTCGTAGTATAAGTATAGCCGAAACAAGGGATTGAGTAATAATGACATGTGGTAACAAAGAAAAATTGCCTTCGTTTTTATTCTGTCAAATTACGAAAGTTAGTCTTAAATTATGGATAAATGAAAAATTATAAAAATTGAATTTATAGCGAATTGATAAACTTACCGGTGAATAATTGATAAGCTCCAGTGAAGATAATGATAAAAAGCGCGAGTAATTTTGCATATGTAAAGATGTCTTGCACTCTCGTTGCCCATTTTACATCCCAACAATTAATAAACGCCAAAATACCTGGAAAATAAATATTTAGAGAAAATTAATAAAGTCTATAGATATAACTAATAATATTAATGATATAATAAAAAGATAGTAAAAATTTAGTTTTAGAAACACAATTAATTATTAATAAAATTACTTATTTTTATTATATAAAAATTTTTATTTAACAAGAAAACGAAATGATTTATTAATGATAAATAAAATTGTATCATTTCTACTTAAATGAACATTAATTACATTTCATTAAAAGATAATTATTAAGGTCATGATATATATTAAAACCATATATTATATTCACATGATTATTTATTAAATCAATGATCATTAAAAAATAACACACTTTCATTTAATCTTATTTAAAAAGAAAAATAAATCTTGTTATTCCATAAAGAAAATTACCTCAACATGACAATGCGAATCTATAACCTTTGATCAGCTTTTTATGTTTGTTAATAAATCGAATTAAAATGAAAAAAATTGTATCAATATTACGACTTTTCAAGATGTGAATGCATAAAATGATGACACGCGATTAACCGATTATCGAGGAAACTTACAATCATTATAATTGTTAAAAGGTTACCAAATGTTAATGAACACGCGATTATACAAAACACGTATAACGAGTTCCGTTTCTCGGCGATTGGAGATTGCGATTGCAATCGAGCTATTGCAATCGAATTTTTATTAGGTTAGTTTGCTACTGTTATCGATAGCTCTGAATATACATGAAGATATATGTATATAATATTCAAATATTATTCTATTATTTTATATTGTATTGAATAAAGTAAATTTAAGAGTATAATTTTGTTAAATATAATTTTATTAATAGTTATATATTGTAATATACATATACAATGTATTAATATATTCGTGACATACACCTTTCAAAGATTGATACTAGAATAAAAAAAAACAAATGTAATATATGAAAATATAGATTATAATTATTTATTAATTTTTATTTATTTATAAGTAATTTAAATTAAATGAAGCAAAACAGAGATAAATCTATTGCACTCATTTTATTTAATGCAAATTTACATTGCTTAATTTAATACGTTTAAGCCTTAACCTATATTTTTATATATTAACTTACGTATTTATTTTAATTTTTAAAATCGATTCTTTAAAGATCGATAAAATATATAAATATATTATATATGTATAAGTATAACAAAAGTTCTATTTTTTGAAATATTTAAAACTATTGCTATTTAATTAATTTATTTTAAAAATCATGCTTCTATTTTACGATCTTATTGTTTTTAAAATTAATATATATATTCCTTAATTATTACCTTATCGATTTTGATCTCTTATAAGATTATTTTTTGTTTTAATCCTTTCAATATATATTGAATATATAATATGAAATATCTATAATAATAACAACTTTTATTTTCAGCATGTATTGTCCTCGAAAATAGCACGTATCGATAATACTGAAGATTAATAAGTAACTTTTTTTTTTGTATCTGTTTGATCATTATCATTCTTCGTAATTATGCAGTTATTGAACTGTTTATTTATTTAGAGAATTACTCCAGATAACATTACTATGAAATAGGATTTTACTTGCATACATTAGTCAAACGTATTCAGGCTAATTGGCATCAGTCTAACCAACCATGACAGTGTCAGGGATGAAATCAGCCATGAATATTATAGATCTATTTTTTGATAAATAAAAAAAAAAAGTAGTACTTTCGATAAACAGATACATTATGATAATCCTTTAAAATTATATAAATATCTCATTTGTTATATAGTTCTCTTTTTTATTAAAAATGACATGTTATATTTATTTTTTTACTCTAATCTGTTTACTTTTTTCAGTGTTTTAAAATTCATATAGGTAAGAATTTTTAAAATTGAGAATGTAAAAAATGTTTAATTTGTTAGATAAATTGTTCTTTTTTTATTTAGTTATTCTTGTTTTTCCTTAATTATCTTATCTTTTCTTTATTTTTATTTTTTTAAAAGTTCAAAATTTGTATATATTTTTATATTTTTATATAGTGTATTTTGATTATTTTAGATATTAAAATTTATATTAAAATTAAAAATTATATTAGTATGATATTCATCAAACAAATAATCTTTTTTTTTATTATTTAAAATAATATATGAATTATGTTATATAAATTATCTTTCTTATAAATTATTAATTTTTTCTAATTTTATTATATTGTAGAATTTAATCTATTTAAATTAATTTAAATTTGAATTTAAAAATATGTAAAAATATTTTATTTATTCAAGAATAAAGTCATAATATCTAAAATAATAATGTGATAATATGATAATTGATAGAAATTGTTTAATAGCAGTAATTCTTGACTGAAAGGATAGGATAATTTAGTTTTATATAATAGTCAATGCATTTCCAGTGTCATGGCCTCGAGGGTCAAAATTCTGATGCAATCAGTTATAGGTCTTACGTTTTCAACGTGTACGAACCTCCTTTCTTAAACTTGATAAATTTTCAGCAATATTAAACATGTTTCAACTTCTTTCCAAATTTTTTAAATATCTAATTTTAAATATTTTTTTATCAAATTCAATTCCATAAATTTCTAAGATGAAAAAAATAAATGAATAAATGAAATATTTTTCTAATAGCTTTTCAAATTTTTTCTGATTATCTTAAACTAACTATTTAAATAATTTTCTGAAAAAAATCTAAATTTAGATTAATCTCCAATAATATCAATTAATTAAAATAGTTAGAAAAATAATATTTCAATGAATTTTTATGTAAGTCAATGAATTTTAAACTTTCAATCTTTGACTGAATCAGTGGATAGACAATAAACTTTGAAATAGGAACGAAAGGAAGGTCATTGATCGCAATGGTGAAAATTAGGTGTACGAATGCGAAAAAGATTCCGCAATTTGATTCTTGCAATTTGAGACCGGACTCCTCGTCCTTGATGGATTCGTTAGCGAAAAAAAATAAGAAATGCAGACTGATGCAACATCTCGAAGAATATCGCGAGACTTTCCGCCCTGTTCCCCTTCGTCCCCGACTATTCTTTCTTTATATTGCATTCGCCAGTGCTGTCCTCCATGATTCGAGTCCCTCGTATTGCTCTGATTGTTGCATTTTTTTGTTTAGAATGAATAGAAATGTAAATATAAAATTTATGTTATGATTAAAAATTAATTATTCTATACTTCTATATAAATTAATTATTCTATATTAACTATTCTATACTATAATAATAAAAGAATTTTGCAAATTAAAATTGCAATTATATTGCAAATTATAATGTAGCAATATAATTATTCAATTATTTTTAGAATTTGATTGTTTAATTATTGAAATTGGATTAAAGTTAGATGAATAAAATCAATTTTTGAAATCATGATAAAGTTAGAGAAAGAATTTATAAATTAATGAGATTATAACAATATAACAATTCAATTTGATTATTTAACTATTTTTGAAATTAGAAAAGAAGTTTTGAGTTTGAAGTTTTATAATGAATATACTAATTCAGGATAATCAAATTAGAATAAAAGAATTATACATATTATATAGATTTATAAGATAATTTTGTATACTATGACTGTTAACATATGTAAATTAATTCTTGCAAATTTTCTAATAGTCCCTTTTAACTCCCCTATTCTTTCCATTATTAAATCAATGAATCAACCATTATGAATCATTTACTTTCTAACAATTATCAAATCAACTTGTAGAATATTGGTCAAACAGCTCATATCAAAATTAAGTTTAATAATCAAAATAGACTAATAGTATATAATAATTTTAACTTGTGTGCGGTTTACAATATTGAATCAAATTTTTCTCTTATTATTACAACTAATAACAAATATCAATTACCATCTCAAACATTAAAAGTTATTAAATCACTCTATACAATGTACCAATATAATATCTCCATTCTGTAAAATATAATACAGAATAAAACAATAATTCCAAAGAAAGAAGATAAGATCTAGCTACTTCGGTGCAAAGTCTCTCTACACATCACTGGTCTTCCACTTCTTCCGTCTGTCCGTTCTCTTCGCGTCTCGGTTCCTCTTGGCTCTCCCCGGGAGTCCCCTTTCGGTGCATTATGCTGTTGCGGCTGCCAGTTGACACGTTATTAGAAGATTACGTTTAATCGCAATGAGACGTGATTGCTAGCACAACCTTTTCACTCGATACTACCATCGTCTGGTCTTTGGCGACGATCGAATCGTCCGCTTCCACTGGACGATATATCGAACCTCCGAGTGTATGTATGGTGTCAATGCCTCCGTTTCATGACGCCATTAACTTTTTCTACGACTTAACAAGTAGCAGGAAACGCGGTGTGTTTTACGTCTTTCTACTTTAGTTGTGTATTATGATACATAGGGGATAAAAAGTAATGTCTAAGGGAAAAAAGTTAAAAATGCAAAGAACAAGATTTTCTTCTATTATTTGGCTTGGTAATTGTACGTAATGCAATATGAAAGATAAATTTTAATAATCATAATCTTGATAGAAATAATTTTTCCTGTTCTATAATTATTTGCAATAGGAAATATTGATATACTTCTACTGTGAATTTGAGGTTATAATACTTTCTTTTTGAAAATAAAGATTTGCGTAAATATAAGATTAGAACTGCAAGAGATATGTTTTCTTGACGACTATAATTTGTCAGTGTGGAATGTGGAAGCAAATGTTTCTATGAGTAATTGCACATTAGACCGACTAGATTTCCCTTGGACTTAATTATTGATCTTCATCACTAGAGTTCCATTCTAAGAATTAATTTTCCTCTGCACTACACGTAATAGGAACATATGATCGGGCATAATCTTGATGAAACAATGATAAAAATCAGGTTAATTATTGTGACAAGAATTCTTCTACATATGTATATGTATATTTATAAAATTTATACTTCTCAAAAATATAAGTTTCAATTAAAATTTCAAATTAAAAAAAATCTTTCTTAAATATCGATACCATATATCATTTAATTAAAAATAATGCTTTTTAT